AGTATATGGGCAATCTCAAAAGTAATAATACAGTATTTTGTTGCTTTTATGTTCTTTTTTCCTTTTGTTTCGGCATCGCATTCTGATATTATGTGTCTTTTTTTACTTAGGCTCCCCTTCTTATTGGATGTGATGTACGAAATATGACCAAGGAGACTGTGGAAATACTCACCAACAAAGAGGTTATCGCTGTTAACCAAGGTGTGAATCTTCTTGACCTCTCTCTTAACAAACTCAATCAAAAATATACTTTAAATTTGATAATAATGAGGTTTGATCTATTGGAGCCTGGCCTGCTTTGAAACCATATCAAGAACCATTTTGTCGACATGTTCAAACTATTGGGTTAAGGACATGTATGTCAAGCTAACATTAATCGTTGACACTTCCATTAGAGGATTAATTCTTAGCACTTGTGATTGGTGGGGGTGGGGGTGGGGGTGGGGGTGGGTTTGAAAATCTAGTCTAATATTTTCCTGGAAAAACCACATAATGAACTGCTACTTTGTGGACTCGAGCTGATAAAATCAGATTGAAGGAATTGAGAGTTCTCTTTTGGATTCAATAAAAGGCCTTTAAGTTTCTTTTAATTATCTAGCCAAACTCTTGTGCTTTGTTTGAGAGTTAACTAAGGGAAGGGACAGAATGCTAAATAATAGAAAGGAAAGGTAGGGAATGGAAGTGAAAAAATGTTGTTTGGGAGTTTAGTTAGAGAAACGAAAGTAAGTTTGTTTTACATTGTTTGGGAGTTCTAATAAAGAGAATGGAAGTAAAGGGAATATAGTCAAAGTTACATAAATAACATTATATATTATTAAGATATTTGGTTAACTAGTAAATGAAAAAAAAGATATAGCTATTATTATTATTGATATTATTATTATTGTAGGCGTTTTAAAAATGCCTATAGGTGTCCGCACACAGTTTGAGATGGAGAGAAGATAACGAACGCCGTTATCCGAGTCTAGGAGGATTATCTGACGCCGACAAGTGCATGAACCGGAATGGCGAACCAACTGTGCCTCGTACGCTCACCGGCCATCTCAAATTGGCCGTCACACCTGTCGGTCAGCCCGCGCGCGTCAGTCAGCTCGCGCACGTCAGTCAGCCATAAGTGGCCAGACGCACTCGTCAGTCAGCTCACACGCATCGGTCAGATCCAAAGTGCCCGACACGCTTGTCGATCAGATTCAAAGTGATCGTCACGCTTGTCGGTCAGATCCAAAGTGCCCGATGCGCTTATCGGTCAGATCCAAAGTACCTGACGCGTATGTCGGTCAGTTCCAAGTTTCGTAAAGAAGCTAACGAGCGCATGAAGCAAGTTAACGACGCGTGCAAGTTAACAAGACGATTAAATACGTAAAACGGTAGAAAATACAAGTCCCGAAAAATCACAAAGTGCCAAAAAAAAAAAAGAAGTTCAGCTAAGGCGGCTGACCCGCGCCAGCGCGGGACGGCCTGGCGGGCGCGGGTCGCGTTGGTCGACCCGCGCCGATCGTCCCCACCCGCCCAGGCGCGGTTCGGAGGCTGGCGACCCGCGCCCAGCACGGGGTCGGCTGCGGGTCAGCACGACTTGTTTCATGCATCAACTGCCCGAAAACGCGTTTTTTGATATTTTCTCGGGATTTGTTCGTTCCAGAGCTTCCCAACTAATTGGATATCATCCATAAATGTGGTTAGGTCATTGTCAACTGAAGGTAAGGTCAAATCACATATTCTTATCCAAAAACCTCCCAACCGAAGCCTATAAATACAGGCCTAGGGGCTCATTTCACAGAGACGATTTATTATCAAGAGGAAAAGGTGCTACCGAGTTGAAGAGCAAGGGAGCACGAATTTTAGAGGAGGCTAACTGATCTCGACGAAGTTCTTCAGCATAAAGAGGGAGAGTTTGAGAGATCTAAAGCCCCGTCCGTCCGTTCCTCGAGATTAGGTTTGGTCTTAATCTCGAGAAGAGCTACTGATTTTGCTTGGTCGATTTCAGAGCTTCAAGTGAATACTTTCTTGGTGAAGTAGGAGTTCTGTCAATTTTCTATCAACCGGCTCTGATCGGCGGCGGTCTACGGATATTAACGTCCCCGGCATAGGTAAAGATCCCACGCAAAATAGAGATTAATAAATAGGATCTGTGTGTAGTTTGACAAGAGTTGTAATCTTTCATTTTCATTATAAAAGAGATCTTATAAAAAGATAAATTTTTTATTCATTTGAGTTTATTGTAACGATTAAAGTTGTAATAGATTCAAGGCAATGAAAACATCAACTTTTGATCCAAACAATTATAACTATTATTATTATTGTTGTTGTTGTTATTATTATTATTTTTATTAACTAGTGAATTTTCTTTTGCTAGAGCTTGTCAAAATAACATGAGTTAACATAAAATAATTTAAAAACCATAATATAGAGTCATCACTTTTCCAATATATAATGTTTACAAATATCAAACACTCCATACATGTTCTAACAAAAGCCGACCACTAGTTTTCAACCACGTTTTTGCATAACACCCAAAAGTTAACAAGGATAAGTATGTAATTGCCATACATAAGCAAAAATCAAAGATAAGTTTGTGATCATCAACACGTAACCAAACAACATTCAACAAAAGTTAAGACAACTAAGAAAATAGGAACATAAACCATACTCTAGATGTGTAGGTGGAAGCTACAAAAGGGCTGGTGGTGGCATAGATGCCCGTTGCATCATTTTCATAAGAATGCTCTTGCACCTTTCTAATGGACACCCAAGTAAACTTCTCAAATTCTCCGGAGAATTAAGTAGGAATAGATATGCATCTTCAATTTGTTCATTCCCGATCCCCATCTTGGTACTTCGATTCCAAGCAAAACCACTACCGGCATTCTTAAACAAATCATAGCAAGCTGTCCATTTTAATTTTATATACTTCATATGGTTTTTCACCTTTTCCTTATCAAATGGTTTCCTGGGAAAATGATCTTTCATTTCAGCCACAATGTTATTCATCCCTATTTGTGTGTATACACTACTAACTTGATTCCTGATTACATCTTGATGTATATAAGCTTCAATTAACTTCTCATACATAGAGGAATTTCATATCAAAGATACATGATTCTTCTCCCGAGAAAGAATTAGCTTCAACATTTTTCATTTTTGACATTCCTAATTACAGAATAATATTAGCAAACATATTTGTAAACGTAATAAAATACATCATCCTCCACAGAATACCCAAAGGACCACAATAAATAATATAATCAAAATATTCAAAATAATTCATTAGTCTTATAATCTTCAAGTACAACATAAAACACAAATAGAGAATATTAGTCTTACAATCAAATAGATATTACAATGCAAAAAAAAAAAAACCCACAAATTTGATAGAAATAATCATGCATTATAATCACCCCACATAGAAGTTGCAATACACTCTCTTAGCGACTCCTCTCTACGGCCATCTTCATCATCATCTATATAATCTTCATCCGATGAGTTTTCATTAATTATGTTCATCTTCTACTTCTTGAAAATCATCATTTGGATTGGTACCCCTTAAATAATTGTGCAAAATGCAACAAGCTATAATGATTTAGTTTTGTATTTTAACACCATAATTTGGTTCAGTTGAGCTTGCAATAATGGAAAACCTTTTCTTTAATACACCAAAAGCTCTTTCAATGACATTGTGAAGTGAAGCATGTCTTAAGTTAAATAGCTCATGTGAAGTCCTTGGTGGATTTCTTGAGTACTCATTCAAATGGTAGCGTTCCCTTCTATATGGTAGAATTAGTCCACTTCTTAACATGAATCCTCCATCAACGAAGTAATATTTTCCTATAAAAAATTTCATTGTCATTAGTAGCTTATTATAAATACATGCATTTAGCTTAGTGTATAAATTATAATTACCTTGAGGGATTTTAAGTGGAAATCGTCATTGTAAAGCATTTTTCAACATTCTAGAGTCAGATACAGTTTTGTCCGATCCAGGTAAAACGTAAGTGAATTTCAAGTCAAAGGTGTAGGCAGCTAATACATTTTATGTCAGGTGATCATTCCTACCAGGATGCTTAGGAGCGTGAGAAAACTTTACACAGATGTGAGCTCCATCAATTGCTCCTACACAAACCTGACATTTTAGGAATTAATTAATATCAAAAATTTATTAGTCTAGACAAATATAAGAAATTGTGAAATTTATCATTACTTTGAAATAGGGATCAAACTTTGAATTGTTATGTATCTCGGGTAGAATTTTTGATCCATCTGCTTGTACTAAAAACATCTCTTTCCATTCTATAACAACCCTCCAAACGTTATGAAAATGACAACTAACAATCTCTAGATCGACCTAATATTTTACTGAACTCTCAAGTTGTTACATTATGTCCCAACATATATAAATATTTGGCTACTTGTTCTTCAATAGTAACTCTTTGAGTTCCTCTTAAGTCCGTCGTCCCTCTCTAATATTCTGCATAATCGATGAAAAGATGGTGGATTCATTCAAATCATTTCTCGACACACAACTCTTTGTGATATTATTTCTCGCATCATGTCCCTTACTTCTCTAGGCTTTTGGGGTTCACAACTTAAACTCCTATTTTGTCTTTGATGTAAAAACCAATATGCAATTACACAAATAAGGTATCCGATTGCACAGTTAATTACATGCATGTTAAAATCTTATGCATGCATCATCCATTATCTATGTGAAGAGTTGAAAAGAATACAATTAAATTAAGAAATTAAAAACAAATGTTTGAATTGATTAATGGAAAAAAAATTAAGCAATAATAACAAAAATTTAAACCTATCCTATAATTATTTAAAAATAAATGATTAAGCTTATTAATTTACAATATAATTTAGATTATTAATTGATTAAAATCTAAAATGTAATCCCTAATTAAGACCTAATAATTAGAGTTGTAAGGAAGCATGTTATTTTCTAATGATGTAGCATATTAATCATAATTTCAACCTAATAACCAAAGAAATCAGATTTAATTATTCAATTATTCAACTAGAAGTAATAATAAAAAAATCCAGATTTAATTAATCAAAAAAATTTCAGATTTATTGTTTGATATTTTTACCAACTAATTAATTTATAGAATTTCAGATTTAAAATAAATTTCAGATTTAATACTATTTGATATTTTTACAAACTAATTAATTTATAGAATATCATATTTAATAAAAAATTTAGATTTAATATTATTTGATATTTTTACAAATGAATTAATTTATAGAATTTCAGATTTAATAAAAAATTCAGTTTAGAATTTCTAATGTGATTATAGATTACAAAACTATGAAATATGTAGAATAATTATTTCTTGAGAAAAATTAGATCAAGGTCTTGTAGAAATAAATATAAATGTAGAGAAATACATCAATGACAAGGGAAAACATAACATATGCTAATGAATCTATTTATTAGAGTGACATTGGAGATAATAAATTATGCAAATGCGAAAATAATTAGCAAAAAACGTTATTAACTGAAAAATGATCAAACCTGAGGTCATGGGCGGTGCTGGAGGAGTTGATGGAGTCCACGACGTGGCATTAGAGGGGAAGACGGTTGGAGAGCAGAGAAGTCGGAGAAAAAAGAGAGGCGGAGGGAGGGGGTAGAGAGAGTGTGTGGCGGAGAACAAAGACGGAGAGAGGTGCAGAAGAAAATTATGGATTTGAGGCCAAATCTGAAGCGTTGATTCCATTGGATGAGAATGCATCTTAGCCATAGATTTTAGTGTGATAAGGGTATAGTTGTCTTATCACATTGTAAAATTTTACAGTAATTTCTATTACTTCCTCTACCGCCCAAATTAGAGGGGAGAAAAATGGGTGCAAACTTAACCTTCCATTCCATCATCTAACCCCTCAAAAAACCTCCCAAATGAGGTGAAAACAAAATTTCGCTTTTAACTTCCATCCATTCACCTCCATCCAAACACACTGTTGGAATATTGAACTTTTCATTCCACTATTTAATCATAGCATGACTACTAATTAAAATACAGTCACAAATTTTCCACTGAATCATTGAATGACCATTCATCTTAGATTTAGTTACCACCATACATATTAATACAATTTCTGAACAAAACCTCATGACCTTTTGTGTTACTTCCTGCTGTGCCTGTGAGATGGTGAACAGATCCGCTGGGTGTTCAGGCAAAGAAAGTTCGAATGGAAGGAGACCTTGAGGTAACTCATTTCCCTAATGGTTAATTGCGCATAGACCCACTGCAGTATAACTGTTTTGAACTTATATCCCCATAGCTCCATTGTTGCAGAGAGACCCACTGGGCAAATTTAGTATCTGACGGTAAAAGAGTAAAAAAAAAGTTAACTAAGGGGGTCTATCTGCAAAAATGTAATTACAGAGCTAGTAAGTTTAAGGCAGCGGTGGGCTCCCCCCGGCTAGTAGAATGTGCTAGCCCTGGTTCCCTCGTTACTCAAAAAAAAAAAAAAAAAAAAAAAATTAAAAAAGCGGTATAAAGGTGATCTATATGTGCAAATAACCCTTTCTTCAACTCTCTTAATTACTAGCTTATTGTACGAGATTCTTGGTATCATTGCAAAATCCAAAATGTAGCAAGCGAAGCCAAAAAAGGTGTCAAACCCTTTTCTCTAATAAAGGAAACCACTGATATATATAGCTGCTACAGATATGGGCTGGACCTCTATCTGGATATCGAACTGCTGTTGTCTTACTGAATCGGGCAAAAATGGGTGAGCCAACAACCATTATAGCTAACTGGGATGATTTAGCAATCCCACCGAATATGCTTATGGAGGCAAGGGATCTCTGGAAGGTACTCCATAACTTTTTTTTATTTTTGTTTCACAACTGAAGCCATTAATTTATCTTTTGCTTTCTTGTTTTAAACCCACATTTGATAAATTGTATTGAAAAAGGGTAAAAGATCCTGAAAGGTAAACTTTTATCATTTAGATGTATAGGTCTTGAAGCATCCTCCTTAAAATTTAACCTTCTTTTGGAAAATGTATCATGATGGACTTTCTATGAGCATATTGAGAATCTCATTGCGTTTTTTATGTTGTGTAATAATTTCTTTTGGAAGAAAACCTGAACTAGCACTTGACTCAGTTTTTTGCCTTGTTAGGTTGTGATAGTAGTTCAATTGAAAATTCGTTGTCAACATTGTGTAGTACTCAGTAAAACAAACAATTAATAAAAACTTTAAGTGAAACGGTCACATATTGAAGAAATATCATATTAGCTGTACATAGTATTGCAATATAGCACTTTAATGTTTTGGGTTTCTTCTTTATCTGCAGCATGAAACACTGAAGGAGCCAATTCAGGACAAACTAAATGTCAATGTCGGGCCTCACTCGTGTAGGATGTTTATCTTAACACCTATTCTACCAGTTGCTTGATCAATAATATTTAACTCCCCTTTGGAGATTATTATCGCAATTGCTTCTGTTTCTCAATATATATTGTCGCAATTGGTTGGCGGTAAATGTTGTGATTTTGACGAGTACTTGTTGATTTAATTTGAAAGTAAACGTGGACAAGTCGTCTGCATGAGTTGCCTAGGTAAGGTGGTTTTTGTGCTGTTAAACTGATACCTACATGGTGTATATCCAATAAATTCCTGGTTCTGGACTGCTACTTCCTTTTCCTGTTAAGATACTTTGTAATTTTTATCTCGTGTGGTGATGGTCATATGAAAGGAGAGAACGCATTACTTGAATTAAAGAGCTTGAATCAGCAAATAATTGAGCACAAATTCTGTATTCCAATTATTGATCATCGTTTAATTAGGAGTGGTGTTTGGAGGTCTAAGAAGTTTGAGTTTCTCTTTTTCAGGTGAGTTTGAATTTCTCCTCCATGTATATATTTTTAGGCTACGATGAAGCTTAGGAAATCTCATGAAAAATAGAGTATGTTTGGCAAATGGTCAAAGTGAATGTGTCTTATTTTTACGTATAATCTATCAAAAAATAAGTTAGGATAAATAAGCTAAGCCATGATGTTTGACCAAGTAAAAGTCAATTATACTCCTTATGATTTCACAACATCCAAAACCTCATTTAATAACCCACCTCATTTAATAACCCACCGTCAACTTTTTGTTCTTTTTGGTCTCTTTTACAAGGAAGATGGATTATAATTCATTCAATTGCTAGACGCTCTACTATTGAAAATGGATTATAATCCACTAAATTTACAAAACATTATAGGTTATAATCCGAGTGGATTATATCAAAATTTCCCAAACATGATCTAAGACACATGTTTCATCATCGTGGATAATTGTAGGCGACCATGCCAAATTATATGTATGTCTGTGACTGCTACTTCCTTTCAGTTTTCTGACATTAATTATGGTTTCATGAGTATATTAGACCTAGTCTTGTAGACAAAAATACGTCAGAATACGAAAGTCTCACAAGTTACTCACAAATTTCGGAAGTATTATGTTGCTAAGATGAGTAATTGAGGAGTTTGTGATGGAAAGGGCTTAGCTGATATCTCAAGGGACTATGATCATTAGAGGGGAGATGTTTTAAATGAGACTTCTTTTTTTAAAAGTGTACACAGGTTTGTTCTTATAATTAATCTCTCCATTAATGTAGTTTTGGAAGACTGAAAGTTAATTAAAAGTGTGATGTTTACTTCTTTTTTTCCCTGTGTTCCAGGAAGTGCATTCATGGAATCATGCAAATGAAAAATGCCTTTGTTTGTAAAAGCGACTTATCAATGAAAGTTTCACAAAGAAAACAAGAATTAAAAGTAATATATCTCAACAAAGTGGGATATACACTATTCCTCTCATCATTTCTAGAACTGAATTGTCAAGGGAACCTAACAAGCTATTACAAATCACAACAAGACAAACTATTTATACGTGGTACGACAAGTTGCCTACGTCCACGGGGCAAGGAGGGGGGAGATCTACTATTAGAGAGAAAGAGAATACAAATAGGGTTTACAATCATACAAAGTCTCACAAATAAAACCCTCAAATAAGATCTCAATTTCTCTCTCAAAAGTATGCTCAAAACCGTCTGTCTTTCTCTCAGCCAACTTTTCTCTCAGCCGACTTTTCTCTCTGCGATTTCCCCCCCTGCGATTCCCCCCGCACTGAACTCTAGGAGAAGAGTGGCTATTTATAACCTAGATGTGGTAAAAAATTCCGAAACTTGGGCCTCACAAAAAGATCCGCTAAACTCATGGAGAGGTGACTTACTGCCATCCCACTAACTCCTCACACGCCCGCTAAACTCGTGGGTGTGGCCCTGCAATCACGTGGGTGTGGCCCACCACACACGTTCACAATTCTTCACATCGGTGAGGTTTCTCCCAAAACTGAGCCGACACCAAAAATATCCAAATGTCCCACTTGTTGTGTCTAGTACAAAGTGGAATAAATCCACGACAACGAACTCAATCCACAACAAGTGAGGAACCCAAACAAGAGCTCAACCCCCCCCACCCACGTTCACAATTCTTCACATCGGTGAGGTTTCTCCCAAAACTGAGCCGACACCAAAAATATCCAAATGTCCACTTGTTGGTGTCTAGTACAAAGTGGAATAAATCCCCCCCAAAAAAAAAAAAAAAAAAAAACAACTAATCCAACCAGCTGTGTCAAAAGACTGCCTACGTATCCTCTTGCCCAATGAATCAAGCCTCACGTAGTTCACCCAAATGACCTTCAAAGGCCTCAAACCGAAGAATATTCAAAAGCTTCAAACAATGACCAAACATAACACCTGAAACAACTTTGGTCAACATATAAGATAGCCGACCTACTATCACAATATACCCGAATGGTCTCCTGTGATATCCCCAAGTCCTCCAACAATCCATACAACCATAAAACCTCCTTTACAGCTTCAGTCACTGCTATATACTCCGCCACTGTAGTAGAGAGAGTCACTGTAGACTGAAGTGTACATCTCCAACATACCGGTGCTCCTGCCAAAGTAAACACATATTCTGAAGTAGACCGGCACTTGTCAAGACCCCCCCGCATAATCTGAATTCACATAGCCAATACAATCCTACCCTGTCTTCTCATTCTTTTGAAATACCAAACCAACATCCACGGTACCTTTGATATACCGTAGAATCTATTTCACGGCCTCCCAATGACACTTCCCGGGATCGTGCATGTACCTAGATACCATGCTCATGGTCTGTGATAAATATGGCCTCGTACACACCATAGTATACATCAAGCTACCCACCGCACTGACATATAAAATATTCAACATATATTCTCTATCCTCAACTAAAACAGGCGACATCTTAGCTGAAAGCTTAAAGTGGGGATGTTTGCTGGAAATTTGCAGTAAAAAGACAATGAAAGAAAATTTGACTTGTATTCCTCTCAAAATCAATTACAATTTGGATTCCGATTACAAAAGAGAAGAGAATGAATTTGATTCTCCATTTTGTTTAAAACTGGGTTCTTCTTGGTAGCGATGGAGTGCCTCCTTCGATTGATCGCGTCGAACTTGCTCTCCGTTGACGATCCGACCGTTCTATCTCACGAGACCGATTGAATTGCTTGATGACTTCGGTTTAGAACTCTTGACGAGCGTAAAGAACTCAGAACGAGTTGAAAACTCTGACAAGAGTTGTTGAAAACCGAATATCTGGTTTGATGTGATTAAGTTGGGTTGCAAGCTTAATCATGAACTCTTAAATGAGTTTCAAAACTCAGAGCGAGTTGAAACTCTGTAACAGAGTTGTTGGAACCGAAAATTCGGTTAATTGCCAAGTGGATTATGCCGTTGACGAGGAGATCTTCTGGGATTTGATTAACTAATTGTTGATCAGTTCCTTGATCTTCGAAAGATCTCCTTCTTCGTGCTGTTGAACTGCTGAGATTTGTTGACCTTAGGCGGTTTTGATGCCAGCTCACCTCAACCTTATGCGGTTTTACTGCTAGAAACCGATCAACCCCTTACTCAGTTGAGTAAGTCGGTTATTTATAGGGGGATTAGGGGTGTAACCGACCCCTAAATCCGCTCCTAAGTGGGCGAAGATCCCTCAGAACGTGGGATAACAGTTTTGAGGCCGTTCGACTTGCGTTTGAACAAGTCAAAACGCCTCAGATGATGTTCTGGGCTTTAACTCTGCGTCCAAGGCTTAGGACGCAGA